GACACTAGTAAGGAACCTGGCTCAGGCCATGTGCGTTTATGCCTGGCACTCAAGGAATTGGGCTCAAATCTCAGAACCATGGTGCACACGCACATTCTCAATCCACAAATAACAAGACACTATGTGAGGGATTTCTGGTACACCAAGGAGTTCCTGGAATACTGCTGATAGGGAAGCCATCATTAGTTCACTTCATGGGAAAGGGTAGGACTGGTACTAACTCCATCAGGAGTATCCAAGTGACACAACAATTTTCAGTAAAGAAGAGACCATAAGCTTCCACATCATGCAAACACGAAAAAGTTTATTGCAAAGAGGAAATTCCCAAAGATTTTTAAAAAGCATAAAATACTCAAAGATCAAAAAACATTAAGAACAAACACACTGCTTTCTCTGCCCTGTGTACCCTCTCTGCAGACCTGGTTGTGTCTGTATCTCCCTTGCAGGTGTTGTGTCATTCTCTTAATTCCTCCTCTCCCAAGAGGTGTGTTTGTGGGCTTATTATGATGGAAATATCCCCCTCAGAAATATCATTCTCTGTTTCTAGGACTCCTTAACCCTGTGTCTGCAGGATCAAATAGATGTTTAATATTAGTTTTATGACCTTAGATCATCAGACCAACCAAGTCTCATTCATGAAATATCTATTATTTAAGATCAAATGATTTATCAAGGACTTTAGAATTGGCTTTTTAGAAGGGATGTTTCAGGAAAAAATATCTCAGTATAACAAAACTACGCTCTTAGTCTAACTCTTTTTTTTAAGATTGTATTTATTTATTTTTAGAGAGGGAAGGGAGGGAGAAAGAGAGAGAGTGAAACATCAATGTGCAGTTGCTGGGGGCTGTGGCCTGCAACCCACACATGTGCCCTGACTGGGAATCAAACCTGCGATGCTTTAGTTCGCAGCCTGCGCTCAATCCACTGAGCTATGCCAGCCAGGTCCTAACTCTTAATTAATGGTCCACTTATTTTAATCAATGTAAGTTACTGGCAGGCCTATAACTTTTATTACTGGTCTGAGTGGGATTTGAACCACATAAAGCAGGCAATGGGGACTCAGCAATTACTGTTAAGAAAATGCAAAGAGAGAATGTATTCTATCCTAGTTGTCCTTACAATACCAGCACAACCAAACTTACAGGCAAAGTCCCTGACACCAACGGCTGCATCCGCCGGGCCTGCGGCCCCCCTGTCACAGTCAACAACTATGTCCCGGGCGTCTGCTGTGACTGTCCTGTCCTCTCTGTGCCTCCCCATCACAGGACCCACATCGTTTCTCTCAGTTTCCACCCGACAGCACTGAAGTTTGTCCCCACACAAATGTCCCCCCCCCCTTCACCCCCATTTGCACATGCCCCCCTGAGTGGAAGACGAGAGGGTCCAGTCAGAGGCAGCCCCTAGGATCCTGCACAGAACCCTGAATAGAGTCAAGTGTGCGTCTCATCTGCAGGGGGGAGGGGAGAAGAAACGCTGAGAGACCCGCTGTGGGGGCGGGACCAGGCCAGGGTCACTGGGACCCTCTGAGCTCCTGCAGTGTGGAGGGAGGCCTGTGTCAGCCTCACTCCCATCCCCCCCATCCTCTCCGCCCCCCGCCCCCGAGCAGGGCCCACTCTATCCCCAGCACAGCTCTGCTGGACCAAGGGGGGTCCCAGGGACCAGGGCCTGCCTGTCCGAGGCTGTCCCTGTCCCGGTTGGGTCCCTGCTGAGGGTCAGTCGGACAGGGGCACAGGGAGGCCCTGGAGAGTGGATGCGGGGGGTGGTCAGCGCGGGAGGCCCGGCCCCTGTGCAGAGGGGGAGAGAAAGGAAGAAAGCGGGTTTTGAGAATGGCCTGCACAGTGGGCCTCTGGGCCCTGGGCTCCCTGGGCTCCCGGTGCCCTGTGTGCCCAGTCCGGCTTCACCCGCCCGCCGCGTCCTGGAACGGCGGGAGGATGCGAAGGGGCCAAACCGCAGCAGCAGAAGCCAGAGCGGAGGGAGGGGGCGCAGGCCTCCGGTGTCAGCTCTGGGGCCTGTGGCGTCCGGGGAGAAGCACACTGGGGGCCCTTGTCCTGCGGGCGGGCGGGCGAGGCTCCTCGGAAGGAAAGTTGGAACATCCGATGAGTGTGGGAAGCGGCCAGCAAGCCTTCAGTTCCACCAGCAGTTGACAGTCCGTGTCCCCTCTGTAACGGTGCAGAGCTGGTGGGGTTCTCCCGGGAACTGGAGACAGCAGGGACGGGCTCCGCCCTCAGCAGGTCTGCGGGCGCTGGAAGGGCAGGGAGCACAGATCCACAGACCAAGTGCCAACCGGGACTGACAGGCCGCGCCCTGGGGCGGGGGTCACTGGTGAGAACAAGAGGATTCTGGCCCCGGGGACGTTTAAGTTCCATCCAGTCACCGTTTCACAAACGTGTGTCTGATACTCCATTTTAGACACGTTAAGCGTGAAGACTTACGCGGCACCTTTAAGTGAAGACGTTCACGTGTGCAGCCCGGAGGGTACAGAAATCTAAGTCCGAGATAAAGGCAGTGGAGGAGATCACCGAGCAGCAGGCGCGTGCGGGGAGGAAGGAGCACGCAGAAGGGCGAGTGGGTGGGAGTGGCCGGCGCAGCAAAGACCGGGAGGCAGCCGAGGAGACGTTGCGTTATTTTAACGGGCGACGCGTGTTAACAGAAGTGCATGTCCAGAGACGTGGAACGCAGCGGGCCCTTCTGTGGGACGATGGGGTGCGCAGGAAGACCGCCGCTGCCAGCTCCTCCGTGGGAAGCGCTTTCTGCAGCGCGAGGCGGGCGTGAGGACGGTGGCCGTCCACCAGCCCCCCGAGATCCCCAGGCCCGGCACTGCACACTCGCTATTGTTACTGCATTCAATCCCGCACCCTTCCAGGCAGGAATGACCCTGGGGGTGCAGAGAAGTTGGGTCACCTGCCCAGACCCAGTGGCCAGCAGGAGGCTAGGGTCAGGTTCCGCCCCATCTCTCTCGCAGCCCAGGCCTTGCAGGAACAGGCACCAGGTTTAGAACCCACCGCCTGTGGTGTGTCTGAATTCGTAGGACAGGGCCTGTGCAGGGTCTGCGAGGAATTATCCCACCCAACAGAAGTCTCTCACAGAGCAAACTAACCGAACCAGTCAAGCCTGGCTCCATGTCGTAAGCTTCAGCTGTGTTAGGTAATAGCGGTCAGTGATCGAACCTGTTTCTCCTCTCGTTATTTCAATAATACTATTTTCTTTTTCACATCTCTTTTGCTCTCACCATCTCTTAGGTTCTGTTGTACTCAGGTTTCAAGGCTTCTTTCCCCCCAACTAGAGACACAGGCCCCCCTGCCGGGCTCTCTCATCCTGTCTCCTACATCTGCTTCTCCTGCTGCTCCTTCTCGGACTTGTCCTTTCTAAATCCATCACGCAAACTGCAGTTTCTCCTGTTTTTTAAGTTTACTATCTGTTGTTAACAGTTTTCTTTTCCAGTTCTTTCTCTAGTTCTCTAGTGCTCTGTGAAGCCAAGTCCTGATGGTGAGATTGAAAGTCATTTATAAACGTAATCAGAGTGAGTTTTGTTCACAAGCAGCTACTGTGGGCAAAGAGGGCATTGTCTTCCTTCTTTCAGACGGTCAAATCAGCATCGCCACCACCATCTGATCTTACCTCCAGTTAATTTCACATTTTTCACGCACTTCCTCCCAATAAAAGAAACTGAGTGCTTTGTTTGGTACCATCAATTCTGTCGTTCTCCTCCTCTCCCTCTGGGGTGGGACGGGGAGCCAGCCTGCTGTCAGAACGCTCCCAGGTGAACACAGGAGCCCGACCGCTGCACCTCCCCGTGCGAGGTTTGCATGTGGACGCCCCTGGGGCAGGCTTTCGGGGCGCTCTGGTCATCCTCATCTCTCATCCACACTGTTCCTCCTCCTCCCAACAAAAGCCACACATCCTGCCACCAGCCTCCTAACTTACATTTGAAATAATCTATATCTGTCTGGAGTGTATTTCCATATAGGGTGATGTGAATATGTGATTTTAGTGTGTATATCAATGTTCTGGTCACTCTGTATGTCTTGTGGGTACAATCCTATATGTTTGTGCATGTGGAATACTCTTGTACTGACACATGGACCTATGTGGGCCTCGTTCCAAATGACCTGAAAGGAATATCATGGTACTGAAACCTTTCTGCATAAATATAACATGCAGATATGATAGCTGGGGGGAATGCGCATGTGATGACTGCCAGGATTTTAGTTTGCATAGGTAGAAAGGAGGTGATTTGTGCTGCACTAACAGTGAATTGGCTTACTTATGGGTCACCGTCAGGGACACCCTTACAAATCTCACATACAAGTATTTCTGTCTGTGGTCTGACATGCACATGACAGTGCAGTCTCTGAGTGAATAATAGCCTCACTGAGTCATCCTTTCTACAGGTCATTACCTGAAAAGAGTGGTATAGTTCAGCCCTGGCTGGGTACCTCAGTGGGTTAGAACGTCATCCCCATACACCAAGGGTGTGGTTCCATTCCTGGGGGGTCAGGGCTTAAAGAAAGCAGTTACAAACATCCTGAAAATCTAGTTTGAAATAACAAGTACAATATTGTAATCATAATTTCAAACTCTGATTCAGTAACCTAGTTTTAATCTATTACCTGTCTTACTCCTTTTACAATAAGAAACACAAAGCTTTTGTTTTCAGTTACGTCCTGAAATATGTAAAATGACAAAATCATTCAAAATATTACCCCTATTAAATGATAATGTTTGTTCCATAAGAAGGCTAGAACATTTGGGGAATAGGAAATCAAACCCATAAAGGATTTAGTTACCCTTTCCTTCAGAAGAAATTTACATTCTTTTGATTTTGTCTAGTGGTGTGCATTAAATATGTTGAGCACAGAAAAACAGCTCCAAGAAGACATTACTGTGGATTCCAGCTCACAGTTGATCATCCGAGTATACCATCTTAATTAACTAAAGAGGCGTGTGGGAGCACTTCCTGGAGTTACCATGCACCCATAAGAACTGCATAGGGTAGTTCTCACCAACCCATCCTCACCAACACGCCAGGTTGGTGGCCGAGAGGCTCGCCAGGCTGGCCTTTCGCGAGGACGCCAAGAGGAGCGGGAACCTCGCACTGGCAGCACCCTGGGAGAGGCTCGGGGCTGCCGCGCCCCCAACCTCCGCCCAAGCCCCTGATTGGGTCCGCCCTTATCTGCCCACTCCAGCCCGCTCCCGCGGGGAAATCGAGCGACATCCAGCGCTGACTGCCCAGTCCTCGCCCAAGACCAAGATAAAGTGGGCACGTTTTGTTCTTGAGACCTCCAATTTGGGAGTTTAAGGAGCTGTGATTGCACTGGTGAGTTTTGCTGTAAACTCTCTTTGAAATTAAACTGGGCTTGAAGGTAAAATCGTTGGGGGGCGGGGTGGTTCCTCTGCCCCGTTGCATTTTAAAACTAACCGCCACAGTGAAGTTTTTGTGTGCTGTAAATTAGAGTTTCCGTCCTTGGTCATTTCTGCCCCCCCGAAGCTCACTGATTAAGTGGCGTGACAAGGGCTGTTGGTAATCAGAACTAGCCTGCTCTTAGAACTCTTAACCGTGAAAAGGAAAATAAAATGATGAGGGAACTGCAGCTCAGTCAAAACTTACCTCCTTTAGATGAGGAGCTGTCGCTCGTTCTGAACGAGTGGGTATCCTGTCCCCTAATGAAAACTGTATCAAGACCAGTTGTTTCATATGTAATTAATAAGTGATCGATGATAAGATTAAAAAAAAAAATTCCCCTACAGGCGACCGCATCCCAAAAGGGGCCGAGGCCCCCGGGGGTGGCAGTGCAGTCTTCTCTTCCGGATTGCTGCAAGGGGGGCGCTCTAAGCACGCTTCTGCGGTGAAGTCCCAACTTTCCCGATGGGTCGTTCTTTGTGCGGGGACCCGCGGCCGCGGCCGGTCAGCGCTCAGGTCTCGGGCCGCCCGGCCCCCGCCCCGCCCCGCCCCTGCCGGGCCGGCCGCCCCGCCGCGCCACGCTGGAGCAGCTCGGGACTTGGGAAGAGAGACTCAGATCCTCTGCCCGCGGTGCACCCGGCCAGGTCTCTTAGGGCCGCGAGGGGGAGAGAGTCGCGAGGAGGTGAGGTCACGCTCGTTCGCGAGGGGGGGCTCCGGGGCTGCATGTCGGAACGCGCGCTGGGCCGGCCGGCGAGGTTCCGCACGGGGAAGCAGGGGCGGCCCGACCCGCCGCGGGGCCCCACCGCGGGCCTCCCGGAGTGCGGCGGGGAAGGAGGCGCGTTTCCTCCCGCAGCGCCTTTGTTAGCTCTGGCGGGGGGGCGGGCGCCGACGGCCGCGACCCCCAGGCCGAGCAGCCCGCCTGGTGCAGCAGGTAGGCTGGGGGGTGGGGGGCCGGAGCTCCGCTGGGGGCTCGGTTTCCCAGGGTCTGGCGGGTTCCCCTCCGGAGGGAGCTCCCGCGAGCCGGCGGCCGCGATGCGGAGACTCGCCAGAGCGCGGGAGACCCGAGGCCTCGGTTTCCGGCCGGGGCGCCCCCCAGCCTCGCTGCTGCCCCGAGGCTGCGGGCATAGATCCGGGGAGAAAGCCTGCGTCGTGGTGGACGTCAGGAACTGCCAGACTGGGAAAGCTGTCGGCGAGGAAGGGGGCAGGCAGGAGGAATTGGGATAGGAGACCTCGTCCGAGCGGGAAGTTCTCTGCCAGTCTTTTTCTTTCTTAACTCTGCCGAATCTTATTTTGCATCCCAAAGTGACACAGTGAGGTACTTAATTAAATACTGTATGGTTGAAAGTGGCACCGACTACACACCTTATATTTTTTCTTTCCCAGGGTTGGTTTTCATGGGTTGTGGGTCATGTTGAAGGGACACCTATGTTGAAACGACAGTGGCGGGTGGTGACTTGTAGCTCCTATTTAGGGTAATTCTCTGATGAAAATACAGCCACTGGAATTGGACTTGTTCCTCTGTGCCTTTATTTTGGGAAACTTTGTCTGGTCTCTATGGGTGAAGGGAGAGGGACGTGAGAAGCTGAAACTGACCCAGAAAAGGACGATTGACGGTATTAAGTAGTGGCGCTGAAAAGATCCCATCCTGAACTTTCTGGAAGGGGGACTGGTGATTAGCAGCTAAGGGTTTAACTTTCTCAAAAGAAACTTATGGTAGATATTATATCTTGTTACAGGGGAGAGAGTGCTTCTTTTTTGGGGTCAACTCTTTCGTTTTAAAGCAAGATACATTCAATACCTGAAATATTTCCTTTATATACTTTAAATGGCCCTCTCCCTCCTGCTTCTTCTCTTTGCCTTCCTGTCCCCTGTCCTAGAGGCACTCTCCATGAGTTTTTATTAAGCACCTTCTGAGGATGAGGCTGACTCAGCCTAACCCACCTGAGTCCTCCAGGGGCTTACCCGAACACCTCATCCCTGTATATGGGGATGAGTGTTATAAGAGGGCAAGTTCAAGCTGAAGCTCAGAGAAACTGTTCCTGGGGGAATGAGAAATGAGGGATGATTAGGAAGCATAAATGATATTGCACATAAATACTTTGCCCCCCCCCTTCAAGCCCTCAAAAAGTGAAGAGTTTTCAAAATAAAGTATAGGCTATAGCAAATAAAAATGTCACTTTACCTTTCACCACAGTGGAGATCAAATTTCCCTTTGATAAAAGACTGATTGAAATGATGTGATTGTAGGAAAAGAAAATAACTTTCTAATTCTCAAATATAGAACAGCTTGGATCATAACTCATGGGTTTTGAAATGGGTCATCTTTTAAAATGGGTCACTTTGGCTAGAATCATTGCACTTGGTGACTTTCAAATTTGTAAAAGTAGAGTTCTCTCTGAGGATCAGCTGCACGAGACTGTCTGTACAGAGAGAACAAAACAGGATGTGGTGGTGGTAGAAAGAAACTGGAAGAAATTCAGAAGGAAATTGTCTCTCCTCAAAGTAAAAAAATGTATCCTACCTGTTTGGGATTTTATATGTGCTCAATCCAATAGTTCTAAGCTTTGCATTTGATGTCACATTATACCTTTGTGGGTGGTAATATTTCCATGGCCACTATTTTATTCCGTTGTTAGAATGAATACTCTTGGGAGGAGTTGCAGATCTTGCATCCATGTTCCAGAAATTGAGGCACAGCATGTTGTTACAAGAGCTCTGCTATTTGACATGGAATGTCTGCTAGCAAAGATTTAGCTAAACAGTGTCAACCTGGACTATCACAGTATGCACATATGTAGGAGGTGTACCAATCTTTATATTTAAAGACAAGGAAGTTGTTGATCTACTGAGATGATCACACTTTGAATAAACACAGGTGATTTTTTTAATAGTTTAATGCTAAAAATTCAGAGGCTGACTGATCTGTAGTTTTCTACAGAAAGGAATGTTCTGCCATGTCTGCAGGTCATAAGCTTCCGAGTTAAAAGACTATTACACAACTTGAGATCCACCTAAGATTTCATAGTTTGTCTTTTATTCCTTTCTTCCAGTTCTTTCTACAACTTTTTGAAAGTTCTCTAGACAAAGTAAGTTAAAAGGTTGACCGAACTCAGGTTTTCTCCATAATTTACAGGATCTTATAACCTTTGGTCTTGTCATCATGATTGAAAAGTATTTTTAAGTGCTTGTGGGAATGCTATTGTTCTTCCCTGTCGGGGACAATGGAAGACCGTGTTCCATCACTTAGTAGTAATACGTGTCTGGAAAGTAGGAAGTGGCCCTTGGCAGTCAGATCAGTGTTTAAACAACTCATATCTAATAAATATTTTTGAGAGGGATATTGAGAGTATAGCTCATCATTTTGAAAGGAAAATAATCCCTGAAGGCTATCAGCCATCTGCTATCTAAACCATCTTGGTAAAGATGCATGAACGATTTCTAGTTAGTGTATATTGAACACCTGATCTGCACTGTACTTTGTCAATAGATTATCTCAAATGATCCTTAAAAAACACTGTGGTGTGTGGTTTAGAGACAAGTCAAGCTCAGGAGACCAGTACATGGAAGTACCAGAATATAAATCTACTTTTGTTCATTTTCTAAAACTCTTGGTTATTTACTCTCTTGCCTCCATAGGTTGGTTCCGGGTTGCACTGGATCATTTACTCTGATAAGGGATCTACCCTGGAAACATCACTGAAGCTTTCCCAGCATCCCACCTGTGGCCTATCACGCAGTACGTGAGAAAATAATATGTGTTGAATTAATTAAATGTATGATTTACCTATTTTCAGGGCTGCCCAGCATAATGCCTGGAGCAGGGTAGGTGTTTAATAAATGGTAGCTAACTTACTATAATAAACGTTGATTAAATGAGACAGAACTATATCATATATACCTAATATTTTACACCATTATTTACTGAGTGAACCCTCAATCAAATGTTGTTTCCAAATATAATCTCAGAACAGGACATATGCGATGCCATTGGATGACAGGCTTGTATGTATAGCATATGTAACAGGTTTATACTGAGTTAGATTGTCAACTTGTTTCTAAATCACTATTTTTGCTATCATAATTTGACCTCAGCTCTGTATGACTCTTCTTCCTTCATTTCATCCATTACTTATTCATCAAATACTTGCTTAAAATGTGTCCTTTGAGCCCTGTGTTTTTTTTTCTCTCCTCTTGTTCCCTCCTTCTTACCTCTCTGTTTTTAAACCCCTTTGCCACTTTGGCTCTTCTCCCTTAAATCCCCTAATCTTCTTTGTGGAGGAAGGACTTCATGCACCCAAAGGACACAGACTCACAAGGCCACTTTGCCCATCGTCTAGTGCCACTGGGATCAAGAAGAGGAAGCAGGGAAAATGGAAATGCAGGGTTAGGAAAGGGTATGTTACAAAGAAAATGAGAACAAGCTCTGACTATATATGCAGGTAGCAGGTAGCAAAACACAAGGGACTCCAAACAGTGAGTGAATTCTTCACCTTCCTGGACCGCTTCTCTTGGCCCTGCTCCACCTGCTCCCTGCCCTCCCACCCTGACGGGAGCTCCAGGAGGGGCAGCTGGGCCAGCGCCAGGAAGGAGGGGTAGGCGAGGAGCTCCGGGACGGGACCTGGACCTAGGCTGGAGTTTATGGGGCTGCCAGGGCATCTGAATTTATGGAGATTATGTGGTGAACCCCATGCCTCTGTACCTCAGTTTCTTCTTTTGTAAAACGGGGTGATCACTTCTCCTGCAGCGGTTGCTGTGGGACGCACAGAGTGGTGACTACATATGTAAAGCCGGTGCTGTGCAGTGAACACACCCATGTCAGTGACTTGCCAGAGTGGGCAAAAGAAGTTTGCTTCTTAGGTAGGCAAGAAAAAAACTGCCAAGAATTGTATCTGAAAGGGCAAGCGGCCCTGTCAACCCAGACAGCTGTGCTCAAGAATGAATACAGAGGGCCCAGCTTAGAAAAGCAAATGTTTGACCTTTACGAGGCCTGCTTTATATTTCAGCTTTCTTGTTTGTTTCAAATTCCATATACTCATCCTTGTTACTGGCGATTTTTAATGACTTTTAATATAGCTCCTGAAATATAATAACACATACTCTGTGGTCCTGTGCCACCCGTTTCCTTAGCACCTGTCTTTACTTAGGGTCTGTCTGTATTTGTTCGTTCGTTTGGTATTTCCTTGTCTTTATTTTTCCCGTAACCAGCAAACAAAAACTGACACCTTTGTTTAACTTACAAAGAAGCATATAACTTAATTTATTCGATGTATGGGTGAGGTGCTTGTTACAGGATTTGCATTGTTAGTTTTCATAACCCAGCTTTGCTTTCGTCCCCCACCTGTGCTTGCTGTGTTGGGATATAAAGCATTGAGACTAACACTGAATTAAGAACTAACTCTTAAAATGAATTCTTTGTGGAGGGATGACAACCCCAAATGACTTCTAATCTTTGCTAATGGCTTAAGCAAAAATTTCATAGCTAGTCACAGCCACAACACACCTAACGTTAGCTATTGGGTAGGATTTTTCCCTCTTTACGTGCCTCATATTGAAAACACTCAATTTGATTAAAGAATAAATTACCCTGACTCGTGGCTTAATTAGTTGGGTGTCATCCCGCAAAGTGCAAGGTCGGTGGTTCGATGCCTATTCAGGGCGCATGTCTGGGTTGCAGGTTTGCTTCCCCATTGGGGCACGTACAAGAGGCAGCTGAAAAATGTTTTCCTATCACATTGATGTTTCTCTCCCTCTATTTCTCCCTCCCTTCCCCTCTTTCTAAAAATAAAATAAATAAAATCTTTAAAAAAAGAATACAATAAATTTGAGAGAATTTGTGAGCTGTGAATTCAAATTTTGGGTTGCTTCCTTCCTCCTTGAGCAAATAAAACAGGCAAGTAGTACTAAACAGAAACACGTCGTGTTTCTCAGCACCAATTACCACAACTCATTTAAGAAATGAGAAAAGTCTCTGAAAATCAAATTATGGCCTTTTCTGTAAATTTAGAGCTTTTTATTCCTCACTTCTTTTAACACAGCAGTTTGATTCCTGAGGACTGGCCCTAGCTATGTTTAACAGGGAGTAGAAGATCAGACAAGAGAGGTAAAAATTCTTGGAATGTAAAGCAAAATGTAAGATAGAGATGGGATGGAAAACGTTATGCCCAGACACGAAACAAAACTTGTGTTTCACCTGGGACTCTGTCATAAAAGTTCAGACGTAACAGGTATGGAGTACTGAGTCTTTGTTTTTCAGTTGTGACTTAGAGGAGCATCATTAGTTTATGGTCATACTTTTACCACTTTACAACGCTGCGTGCCCAGTGAGCGCCTCACATGCCTCGCCACGGTCCGGCCCCGACCTTCTGTGTGCCTCAGAATGGGGGTGGAGAGGGTCGGCGAGCCTGGGGAGTCCTGACACACATGGGGAGGAGAAGCTGACAACGCGTGAGGTCTTCTCCTTTCTCTATGAGGCCGGAGGGAAATGAAACGTATCAACTCAGAGGGAGGAGGACAGGCCTTGGGGGCGGGGAAGCCCTAGCATGGCTGGTGCAGAGCCTGGGAGAGGAAGACGGTCCAGGACAAGTGAAGGACAGTCACACAGCATGTGCTCTGCCCGCGACTAGAGACTGCTGTTTGCGGTGAAGCTGGCTGCCTGCCTGGTGGGTCCCATGCTTCTCCAGCAGCCTGGCAGGTGTGGTAGGAGCAGAGAAGTCGGGAGTGACCCAGGGTCTGGGTTTGTTGGATGGAAGGACAGGAACCAAGGAGAGGATGGCAAAGATGCCAGATGGTCCTCATCTGAGATGGGAGGTGGGTAAGAAGAAAGGTCAGGAGCTTGCAGGGTGGGGTGAGAAGGTTACGGGGCAGGCAGCGGTGGGCAGAGTGCTCTAAATGAATATACAGAGAATGTGGTTGAAGAGTGAGTGTACTGGAGAATGAGTGTGCTGGAGAGTGAGTGTACTGGAGACTGAGTGTGCTGGAGGGTGAGTGTGCTGGGGAGTGTGTGTGCTGGAGACTGAGTGTGCTGGAGAGTGAGTGTGCTGGAGACTGAGTGTGCTGGAGGGTGAGTGTGCTGGGGAGTGTGTGTGCTGGAGACTGAGTGTGCTGGAGACTGAGTGTGCTGGAGAGTGTGTGTGCTGGGGAGTGTGTGTACTGGAGACAGAGTGTGCTGGAGACTGAGTGTGCTGGAGACTGAGTGTGCTGGAGAGTGTGTGTGCTGGAGAGTGAGTGTGCTGGAGAGTGTGTGTACTGGAGAGTGAGTGTGCTAGAGACTGAGTGTGCTGGAGACTGAGTGTGCTGGAGAGTGTGTGTACTGGAGACTGAGTGTGCTGGAGACTGAGTGTGCTGGAGACTGAGTGTGCTGGAGAGTGAGTGTACTGGAGACTGAGTGTGCTGGAGACTGAGTGTGCTGGAGAGTGAGAGTGCTGGGGAGTGTGTGTGCTGGAGACTGAGTGTGCTGGAGAGTGTGTGTGCTGGAGAGTGTGTGTGCTGGAGAGTGAGTGTGCTGGAGACTGAGTGTGCTGGAGAGTGAGTGTACTGGAGACTGAGTGTGCTGGAGACTGAGTGTGCTGGACAGTGTGTGTGCTGAAATTCAGAGGGAATGGAGTTCCCAAGTGAAGCCACACAAAGGACTTTCTTGCTGATGAGCTGTCTTGTGCAGAGTGGAAAGGGAATGTGAGCTCAGTGGTACACACAACATGAAATAAGGTTCCTTAAACTTCCGAGGGTCTTTATGCTCAGCGCGCCCACCACATCTGCAGTCCCGTCTGCCTCCATCTCATCACCGGCTGGACTTCCCTCCCCAGCACCTCACACTCAACACAGTCGAAAACCAGACAGATCCCCTCACTTCAACTCAGGAAACCAGTGTTCCTCCTCTGTCAGCCCTGCTTCCAACTCGACCCCTCTCCTCCTCCTTAACCCCCATCCCAGACCACTCCTCACGTACTGCTGGGTGTCTGTTTTTCTTCAGAGGGTCTTCTTCATTCCTTCATCCCTCCCCACTCCCACCGCCCAGACTAGGTCCTCCTCACCTCATCTGCATCAACACGAGGCCCTAACAGAACCCGGGTCCTGATCCCCAGCCATCTGCGTCCCTCCTGCATGCGATCCCTTTTGCATAAAGCTTACTGCATAGTGACAAGGAAGCTGTCATTGAAAAGGAGAACACAGACTCCTGTCCTGTGACTTCCTGCAGCCCTGGACATGCACTGGCTCCTCTGCCTTATGGTCCAGGTCCCCATGAGCCGCCCCCACCTGTCTGCTCTCAGACACATGCCTGGTACTTGGGTGTTGCCCCCATTGCCACTCTCTCCCTTCTGGCCTCCAACAGATGGCCTCTCTTCCTACAGCCTCCCAACCCCCTCATCCTCAGCCCCTCCTGCTCCAACAGTCTCTGCTCCCTGCTCCCAGGGATGCCCTTCCTGTGCCTGGAGCTGGTACTGCCCAAATCAGCGCCGACACCATCCCACCATCCGTCCCTTTGTGTCATCCATGGGAACGGCAGCTGCATGGGGGCCAGTGAGTCTCGTCCCGACCAGACCGTAGATGCCCGCCCACTGGAGGCTGGAAGACCCCACTTCACGACCTCCACCATGTCCGGGGCAGCCAGTGCCATGACCCATGTCAGACATGTGCAGTTTTCATGGGAACGTTGGGCACTGAGGTTGTTTAACTTGAACTTACAGCACAGACCTCACCATCTTGACTGAAACTTCAACATTTGTAGCAGCTTTGCCTGCTATTTTAGGGTCACACATGTGGACTCAACAAAGAAACGAGTTGACAGCACGGTGCAGCACAAAAGGGAAGGGTCAGGGGCCATGCAGGGAAACGTGTGGCCACTGCGAGCACTGACTCGCTTTTCCAGCAAAGCTGGAAGCGCCCCCTCGGGAAGAAGGATCATTGGGTGACTGAGGGCACCGGCTCCCATCTTTGCTGGCGTTCCTGCTTCTGCTCTCTCCTCTTCTGAGTTAAGGGGATATCCGTTCCCTCTCAGTCCCCACAGAGCAAGCCCAAGTCACCTTCCAAACATGTGCATATTTTTCTTTAAGCAGTTCTCTGTCCTGGTCTCTCCCACAGTCTTTCCTGCTTCCTGCCTTCAGCAGGCTCTGAGTCATCTGTGATTTCTATGTTCCCTCGTTAACAAGACATTGAAATTCACTGAGATTTGCAGATGAAGTCACCAAATCAGAGCGCAGCGAGGGGTGCCCGAGGAGGTTGCACAATAAATCTGGTCCCCAGGGGGGTAGCCCTGGAGTGTCCAGCCTGTTGGTTGGTCATTGATCAGAGCTGCAGGCTCACAAAGGAAGCTGCACCCGCAGCATTCCGCTGTGGACATGCTGAGCTTTGCAAACATTGTTGGGATGGCTTTGTTTCCCGCGGGGCCCAGCACTTTCTTTCCCCAGGTCAGGCAGGTCTGTGGGCTTCTGCCCAGGCCCCTCCCCAGCACTTTGAATACAGGAGCCAGAAGATGCGCTTCTGAGAAGCTATAAGACTGCGAATCAGGAAAGTGGGCATCAGTGGCCTGTGTGTGGTCTCCATGAGCAAAGCCGGAGTTGGGGGCAACATTGTTTAGTTTTAATTAATGAATTTAGATCACAGAGATGCTTTGCTTTTGGTTGAGAAAGTCCGCTTAGTAACTATGTTCCATTTGGAGGAGTTCAGGTGTTCTTTTGTTATAAAAGAGAAGCTGGGTACTATAAAAGAGTAGTTTACCTTCCTCAAATCTTCATTCCCCTGGTCAGTACTAGCCCTGGAGTTTAGTTCTGATCAATGTAAGTGGTGGGTGTACAGTTCAAGCTACTGCAGGTGAAGACCCTTGTTTCAGAGCTTTATCTGCTGTAAAACGATGTAAGGAGCATGGGTCGTTGGCTCCTTGTCAGGTTCTTTGTCATTTTTCAGGAGACCGTTCTTACTCTTTGAGGTCAATTGGGAACAGTTGAAAGAAATATAGGAAAATAATGTAAATATATAGATATGTGGTGGGGTGAAATGGGGGCATAAAATAAGTGTTGGGGGCTGGCTGCTGGGTTGCAGTAATGTTAGCAGCAGCAACGCCCCAACCCCATTCATCGGTGAGAGACTAGGGCCTCTGTGAGTCCGGCGGCCGTGAGGGGCCGCGGAGTCAGGCTTGTGGACTGATTGTCCCCCAGAAGGTCAGACCGGTGAAGAACCGTGAATGGGTGCCACGCACAGCTGCCCAGAAGTTGACAGCTGTTTTTGCCTATGGTTCCCAGGGTTACTCTCCCCTTTGTTCCCTTTCCAGGGTCTATTGGAATAGAAGCTGCAGGTTAGTTTCAACTGAGAATTTTCTCAGAATTCTTCAAGACATGCTGTCTTAAAAATCTGCCATTAAGAATTCTCTGTTACTTTGTGTCAGGTGTCCAGTTCCTCGATGTGTGTGGTGGAGGAGGCAGAGGGGCTTTCTGCCTTCAGAGGTGAGCGCTGAGAGGGCTGACAGGAAGTCTCTCCACGCCTCCACCAGTGAAAACGAGTCTGCAGAGTGCAGGCAGATGCCAGCCCTGGAGGCTGCTGTTTCCTGCTGTCTTTCTCGTCCTCTAGAGCGTTCTGTCTGTCACCTGCCAAACCCAGGTGGAAATAACTGGTAATTGATCTGTCCCTTACAGCAGTATTTCTCGCCTTTTTGATGGTGAAGCACAATGACAGTGTGTATGACATCACAACCCTGAAGGTACTACATTCAGTATTCTCTTCATTTTCCTTTTTTAATGCTGGTTGCGACTTCCTACCTGGAACCAGCCCTGTTAAAATCTATGCCCTAGGGGATAAGATGTTTGGTGCTGATTATCTCTGGAAGAAGTCTCAGTGGGGCTTGACTCTCACCTCTGGTCTTCCTTGAACTTCTGTGTGCCTGGCCTTTGCAGCAGTCACCCTAATATGTGGTAATCTGGGCTGGGAAGTATGGCTGGAGGCAAAAGGCTTGAAGTCTGAAGGAAGCCCCATGGCCAAAGTTAGGAGGACACTGCAGGGCACTTAGTTGGTGTGTGCATTTGGTTTCCTATTGGGTGCAAAGGATACGGGACTTGAGGATGAGGTCTTTGGGCACATAAATGGGGCCTCTGCCCTGAGCCTGGGATGCGGGCTCAGCTACTCAGCCAACGTTGATCTTGTGGAGCTTGCATTGTCCTTTCTATGTCAATCTATTGATAGCTCAGGAGATCGATGTGTCAGTCCTGGGGGGAGAGCCTCCTTCCTCAGGGTAGAGGATGTGGTTGGTCATGGTAAGGACTGGGGACAGAATCGTTCAGGGAGGCAGGTGCTGTCTCCTAGTTACGGAAGAAGGAGGACATGACTGGCTAGGCATCCCGACCCATAGTTCTTCCCAAGCAACTAGCTGTTTGATTGAAAGGTGTCTCCACCCCCAAGCATGCCTTTTTGCACCAACATCCAGAGAGCACCTGCTAGGTGAAAGGCGCTAACTTGAGTGCTAAGAGTAGGCTATCTACAACACCATGTCTTGCATCAAGGAGTTTATAGTGTGATTGGAGGCAGCAGCCTCAGTACAGGAAGATAGGTGGAAGAAGGTGCTGGCAACACAGATAAGAAACGTCTTTGGCAAGGGATGGCTCCAATTCAGACTTCCCAGAGACAGACACAGAACTCATTCAGGATTAGTAGACTTCTTATTGGCAAGGAGAGGAGGCCACAGGACTGCTGGTAGAAAGGCTAGCATGTATGAGATAAGTAAGTGTTGCTGAGCTTTCAGCCAATAATTTGGTATTGTCGTGGAGAGCATCTGAAGGGGTGTAAGGAGCTCAGTTCGTCTCACGGCTAGATCTGAGTTTTAGAAAGGGCGCTCTGCCTGGAGAGTAGAGGAGGGCGTGGCCAGGGGTCATTTAGTCTACTGCCCAGTTCGGGGTGAGAAGTGATGATGGCATGAGGGGTGCAGAGAGATTTAGAAGAAGCAATTCACAGGATTAAATAACTGGATATGGAATGGAGGAAAAGGAAGACTTTCAGATTTCTGACAGATACACGAAATATAAGCAGACACAAATAAGGAGAAAATGGATTTGGCGGGCTTTGGTGGGGAGGACAGTAGAATGGGTTAGAAATGGCAGCGGCATGCCCATGTGTCAGGTAAATTACCTCTCTACCTCTCTCTGTATATCTATGTATGTCCCATTTAATGTACATGATGACTTTGAGTTCAGCGGTGTTATCCCAGTGTTTCAGGTTTCTGGGTTAGATGCACGACACAGTGCCACAAACAGCAGGTGCCTGAGCATGCATGGTCTTCACGTCTCCAGATGGCAAGGATGGCAGTTTTGGGCTATAATTCTACAGCTTCCTAGTTTTGAATATGTTAAATTCGAAGTATCTATTGAGTTTCCAAATGAAAACGTAAAGAAAGAACATGCCTACATAGATCTGGAGCTCACACGGTCATTTGGGTTGGAGAGAGTCTGGACTATGCTTTTGAGAAGCATATCTCCACTCCTTGATTTTGAACCTGGATTTTAAAATGAAAGCCTTACCCTAATCCCTGCCTTGCCTGGGGCAAGCTTTATTGGATCTTTACTTTCAACTTTTCATCATTCATCTGTTTGGCCTTGAACTGTACAGCTGTTTTCATCCTGACTCTATTTCAAATCAGTATAGTCATGGATATACCCATTTGAAAGATTTGAACTTTAAGTGTGTAAGAAGATAGCCATTCGGAGGGCTTTTTTTTTTTTAAGGTTGAGAAGGGAAAAAGATCTCTGTATTCTGAGTAGGAAAACAGTAGAGAGTTCTCCTTTCCCTTTCCCTCTGCTCCCCTGAAATGTAGACAGCTGTCTGCCCCTCTAAGTGCTAGCTGCCTCATCTCCTTTTGTCCAGGGCCGTTCCGTTACATTTAGTTGATAAGGCGTTAAGAGTAGTTTATTTCTTTTCGGTAGCCCATTCATCCATTCACGTGTCATCCTGTCTTGTCCTGACTCTGATAGGGTGCACCTGACCTTCCCGGGAGGACGTCCACGAGTGCCTGCGTGCAGCCCGCCGGCCAGCTCAGGGAAGGATGCCAGGGTGGGGGCGCTGGGACGTGCCCAGGTCCTCACCCTGCGGTGTGTCCGAGTCTTTCGCAATCTCAGCAACAATGGTATCAAAAGAAAATATTTTGTGAAATAAGAAGCTCCTTTGACATTTTTAATGACCAACCTATCTTAAGATGGACACCTGCTCCATAGAATGTGAAGTTCCATGGTCTCGAAGAAGCAAGTGCCCGTTTAACACTGATTCTAAATAAACATGGACATCAGAATGTTTGTTAGTGGCAGAAGAGTGAGAAAGTGGCATTTTCTCCAGTTATGTGCCACTTGTTTTATCCTGAGCCTCATGATGTTTTGGGAAACGTTTGATAACCACATTGTGAGCCACATGAAGTCCTACTCTTACCGATACCTCATAAATAGCTACAACTTTGTGAATGAGAGCCTGTCTCTGAAGCACAGCGAGGATGGGGCTACTCGCTACCAATACTTGATTAACCACAGGGACAAGTGTCACGCACAAGACGTCCTCCTTTTACTGTTTGTGAAGACTGCTCCCGAAAACCACGCTCGACGCTCTGCAATCAGGAAAACGTGGGGCAATGAGAAGTATGTTCGGTCTGAACTTAATGCCAACATCAAAACTCTGTTTGCCTTAGGAGCACCTTCTAGCCCACTGACAAGAGAAGAACTGCAAAGGAGATTGTTTGAGGAAGACCAAGTGTACAATGATATAATTCAGCAAGACTTTGCCGATTCTTTCTATAATCTTACTCTTAAATTACTCATGCAGTTCAGTTGGGCAAATACCTTTTGTTCCCATGCCAAATTCCTTATGACTGCTGATGATGACATATTTATTCACATGCCAAATCTTATTGAATACCTCCAAAGCTTAGAACAAATTGGCGTTCAAGACTTTTGGATTGGTCGTGTTCATCGTGGGGCACCTCCCGTTAGAAACAAACACAGCAAATACTACGTCTCCTATGAGATGTACCAGTGGCCAGCTTACCCTGACTATACTGCTGGAGCTGCCTATGTGATCTCTAATGATGTTGCTGCCAAAGTCTATGAGGCCTCACAGACACTTAACTCCAGTCTTTACATAGATGACGTGTTCATGGGCCTCTGTGCCAATAAAATGGGGATAGTACCACAATACCATGTGTTTTTCTCTGGGGAAGGTAAGGCTCCTTATCACCCCTGCATCTACGATAAAATGATGACATCTCATGGACATGTGCAAGATCTTCAGGACCTTTGGGAGGATGCCACAGACCCTGAAGTAAAAAACGTTTCAAAAGGATTTTTTGGCCAGATATACTGCAGGATAGTTAAAATATTTTACCTGTGCAGGTTGACCTACGTGGACACATATCCTTGCAGGGCTGCTTTTGTCTAATAGTACTTGAATGTCGTGTTTTCTCACTGTCACTGAGCCAAACCTGAATGCAAAACCTTTAAATGTGCATCTGTACCCTAAGTGAAGTATGAATAGGAGAACAAAGAAATATTTTGAAAGCCCAGTCTCTCACAAGATTTCTTTGATTCTAGAAGCTATTCAGTATAACTTAATGTACTTCATTGCCTAAATTCATTTCGAGGAATTTATATTTAAAATCTTTTTTTAAATCCTCACTTGAGAACATGTTTTTTTTCCTCCCAAATTGATTTTTAGAGGTTGGGGGGAACAAGAGAGAGAGCAACATCAATGTGAGAGAGAAACATTGATTGACCGGGGTTCGAACCCACAACCTAGGTATGTGCCCTGACTGGGAATTGAACCCACAATCTTTTTGGTGTACAGGCTGATGCTCCAACCAACAGAGCCACCCAGCCAGGGCTCAGGGAATTGATATTTAGAAAAGGTTTATGAAAACACAACTAAAGAGAAATTCAAGTTCCCAGTGCCATATGTAAATGTGAAGTATAGAGAAGTTATTAAGGAATCTTGCTGTTAGAATAACTGCATTTGGAAAATACTAAATGTGCAGGATAACATTTCAAAGAAAGGAATGTATTGTCAAACTAGGTATAAAAGTTAATTTTTATTGAAGAGCACTTGATGGAAACGGTGGGGGCCGGGGAGGATCGGCATAGGAGAAAGTACACAAATCTGGTAAAGGAAGGTCGCGTGTTCTTCGGAGGAGATTTAGGAAAATGCACAGCAGGTCCTGGAATAACCTGGTTTTGTTAGGCCTCATTTTATAGTGTTGATGAGATGCTGTTGAAATGTAACTCTTGTTTATATCCATTAACCTACTATAAAATTGTTTCGTTATATGTTGTTCTGCAGCAGTTCCGACAACTTACTGAAAATGTTAAGTGAGAACTTACAGTACATTTTCTTCATGAACAGCCAAATCACCTATTGTTACATCCCTGTAGCTGTTTTACCTAGATGGTGCTAGAGCCATTTAAAACATATTTATGTCTTGTTTTTCAAAGTTTAATGTAAAATTGGAGAAGTCATTAGCTCTGCCCTAACTGGTACCTTATGCTTTTTTTTAAGTCATTAGAAAATAACACAAAACAGAGGCAACTTGTCACCCATCGGGTCCTTCTGTGGGGAGAAATCATTGCTAATTCAAATAAGCTGGTTTTAATTCAATGAATTTTTCAACTGGTTTTTAAATATTCAATATAGGTTTATTTCAAGGTAGTTATTTGAATGTAGTTTGCATAGAGGAATATAAGACTTCAAAAAGGAAAGAAAGAACATTAAAAGCCTCTTTCCTCCATAATTTATAAAATAAAATTCTTAGTGTCTAAGTTATTATAATGATTACTAAAATTAGCCCACCCCTCCCCAACAAGGTCTATAAACCACAGTGCTTTTTGTTTGAAGTTCAGATTTTAAAATTGAGGGTATTAAACATCACATCAAAGCTATAGTATCTTTTAAAAAGTATATTCTTTTATCAAAATAACTATCAGGTATTTTCAGCTTTTAAATATTTCAAACTTGAAATTGGAATGAAAGGTGGAAAAGTGGCCAGAATGAGGTTTAAAGCATTTGTAAAGCTGTGTGCTCCGTATAATCAAAGAGACATGGCTGAGATCTAACAGAGTAAGGGTCTCCTATCTGACAAGGCAGGGTAGCAATGTGACCACGAGGCAAATGACCTTCTCTCACTACAGAAAGAACTAGGTGATGTATGTTACTAGAAGGATTGTATGAAGGCCAAAATAACAACTTCAACAAAAGCTACTGTACTGATCATAGAAACTTTGTCTGCAGAGGTGTCTGTTAGGGAAAACTAAGGTGTTTCTCTCATTTAATTAGATAATTAATGTTTGAAACATGGAAAGCAAAACAATTAAAAAAAGAATTCTCAGTAAACATAACTAAATGATGGCATATATAATTTTTTGCAGGTAGCTCTTTAATGTTTATGGAATTAAATTTTTTCTTTCAAAAATTGATGCTCATTTATACTGATTGCTCAGATAATTCAGAATTTTTAACTAATGTCAAAACTATAGTGTTAACCATTCTAGTCTGCAGTTGCTTTAGGTTCAGGGTTTTTAGATCATTACAGTTTAAATTTTCTGATGAACTTTAAAAACTGCAGAGAATAAAAGCACATTTTGACAAAGCAGATTTGTAATGAATTTTTATGTTAATTCTTTCATAACCATTTGCCTTTTGGCCATACACATACGCTATGTATCTATACTCGTAACTTTAAATTTCTCATTGGATGAAATCATCAATATCTCTGGCCATCGAAATGATCTTGTTTACAGCAATACTTTGGTGAAAGAATTATTTATTTATGAGAGCATTCTCCTCAAATGTGTTCATCTTTTTATTTCTGCTTAGAATGGAACACTTAATTTAAAGGAAATATGAAGGCACTTCCTTTTGTAACAAGAAGGATATTGCTAGATGCTTCCTTCATCAGACTTAACATGCTGAGAAGAATACTTGTAAATACAGTAAAAGGCTTCCAACCTTCTAAAAAGGAAGGTAAAACTTTGGTGCTCCAATGCAAGGCTGTCTTAAAAACCACAAACAAAGGGATAATAGACTGTCAGCCTGGATGGTCACTCGAGCAGAAAAGATGGCTGTACACAGTGTTATTGTTAAAAACATTTTACCTCTTGGTTGGTTTGCATCTTGTTTTTCATATTAATTTTATACCAAAATGTTAAATAATTATATTATTTGAATTTTGCTTATATGTCAAAATAATTTGTGTTTTTTTAATAAATCTGTGATTTACAATAAACAGCTTGAAAATTGTCAGCAGATGTGTATTTTCATAAGAGCTTTTAAACTCCTGTGTGAACAGCATTTGTTCATATATCATAAGCTTGTTCTGTTTAAGATCAGAGAGGCCTCTAGGACACAGTCGTAATCCTGCTGCGTGCGGACATGCTGTGTCCAGGGTAGAAGATGTGCATGTCCTCTGCCTCGTGGAGCCACCTAAAATGCCTCTTTGGTTTGTGAAATGACTTATGTCGGAATGCCTAAGTGAGGGAATGCTCCTAATAGACTATTTAGGAGGGGAGAACGTAACCTGTAGCCACAGTGCCTTAAGACGCTATTTGAAAAGGTCATACTTTCATTTGATGTCATGAACTGTCTGAAAATAGATTCAAATTTAGCCCTAGTCTCACAATGTCAGGAACGTTTTCAGGTCCTCCTTCTGGATGGCTGGTGCTTCGGTGTATTTGTACGTAGTGATTTCTCATCTGCTTCTCACCTGATTCATGCCTGTTTCTTGGAATAGTATATGCTGTGATTGAATCTGTACATTTTTTAAGACTTGGAAGCACCTGAATTATTTGGTTATAGTAGAACTTTTTATTTGCAAGGCATGGATGGGGTGTTTGTAGCTGGAACTAAATGATGACCACCTGGACAAATTAATTAACTTGACCTCTATGTCGGACTGCAGGTGAACATCATAGCTGCAATGAAAATGAGACCAGAGAACTCCTGATATGCAGGGTTAGTCATTCTGCTGTAATAATGAGAGAAATGTTAGGTGTCTTCCTGACTTTCCTGCAGTCACTGCATGGCGTGGTGAAACAAGCCTCAATTCAAATTTCTTTATGATAATCCTTTGCTCCAGAACTCTAAGCTCCTTACTGCCTCCAGCATCAAATCAAATCTCTTCTACCTCATTTTCAAGGTCTTAGGTAATCTTCCTTTCCTTCTTCATTCCCTATAGCTTTATTTTTCCCATTGCCACTATTATCCATTACAAATCTCAGTCGTGACCATGCCTGTGAGTTTGTTTCCCTTGCCAAGAACACCATTTCCCCTATATCTGTTGACATCTTGGAAACCAGGTCCTAACTGTTCTGTTAAACATCTGCCCTCCCCCCAAAATAGCCATTATTATACACACTTACCACTTATGTTAATTTGTTACCTACTAATTGTTTCATGTGTGTTTTCCAACTGAAGTCGAGTCCTGAAGGTAGGGACTGTGTACAGTGCTACCACACAGTGCTTAAAAATTATTTTTTCACACGTAATAAAGTAACATTATTCTGGCTAGCCATCCAGATATGAAGATAAATTATTCAGAACCCTAAGAGTACATGGAAGCTATGTTCACATCCTCCCAGGACCAAACTGGACTTACAGCTAAATTATAGAACAATCATCCAAAATAGCCAACTGCAGATTAGCTGAAGAGAAAGAAGCCTTATAACCAAGGATTTACATAAGAAGCCACATCAAGATTGGTAGGAAGGGCAGAGATACAAAAAAGTTTGGCCCGCTCCCATGGGTGACAGCTGAGGTTTCAGAGGGATATCACAGCTGTGGGGGTGCGGGGGGGGGGCATTCCCCCTGAGAAGCGTGGAATCTAAACCCAAAGTTGGGCTCCCAGCCCAAAGCACCAGAACTGGGGAAGGTGCCCACATAACATCTGGATGTGAAAAGTAGTGGCATTTCTGTCAGCCAGGGAGAGACAGGAGTCTACTAGAGACACAGGCATCCTCTTAATGGTTCACAGCCATTCACCCTCAGCTGCACTGGAACGAGAGCATAACAAACTGGAATTGTGTGAGGAGAGTCAGGTTCGTGCTCTATGGTGAGAGCTGAAGGGTCAGCCTCCAGTATACCTGTGCTAAATCATTCTGTATCACAGATGCCATCTTTGTTGGGTGGAGCAGTCCCCTTTGTGCTGCATCAGCCTGTGGGAAAGCAATAGCCCACCCTCTGGACTCCCTCTTGCCGCATTGTGTGCAGTTTATGTCTGCTGAAGAGTACAGCTAGAAGCTCTTGCAGTGACTGCATCTAACAGGCAGCTGGCAGGCACAGGCAGGTGGAGGTGAGTCTCCAGGTGCTTTAGGACATTTTCTGTCCACCCCTCAGACTGGTGCTAATAAAGCTGGCCTTGGTGTGCAGCTTGGTCCTTTCTGTACACACCCAGGCCTAGCAGTGGCAGCCTCAAACTGGACTGCTGATAGCTCCAAACAGGTTACCCAGGGCCAGTCATGGGTAGTGTTTGACATTGATCTACACCAGAGTCCCTCTAAAGAAGCCCCAGAATAAGCACATCCAGTGGGCAGCTTCAGACAACAACAGAGCAGGATCCAATAAGCTTCAGAAATGACACATCCAAAGAAAGATCTTGGCGGGCACCAAGCCCTGCTGGGGCTAATTCCAATGCATGTGCTCAGCATCCACACAGCAACTTGCACACTGTAGTCAGGGTTGAGCCTCAAGTAAGCCAGCCTGAGGGTTGGTCCCACACACAAATGG